GTTATAGTTTAAACGTGTTAACCGAAACCATTCTGAAATACTCTAATATTTTCCCAGACCAACTCTACGTCACCCATATAGACTGCCAACATACGTGCAGCCAGGCGAATACGTCGACATTAGGTGACGTAATACAGACATTCTGTAGAATTGGAATTTTCACTGGTATGTGGGTATTTCAGGTGGGAGGTGTAGGGTAGGGTAGGGTAGAGTAAGGTAGGGTATGGTAGCGTAGGAAGGGTTAGGGTAGAGTATGGTAGCGTAGGGAAGGGTAGGGTAAGTAGGGTAGGGTAAGGTAGGGTAGGGTTAGGGTAGGGTAAGGTAGGGTAGGGTAGGTAGCGGTAGGGTAGGGTAGGGTAGGGTAGGGTAGGTAGGGTAGGATAAGGGTTGGGTAGGGTAGGGTAGGGTAGGGTAAGGTAGGGTAGGGTAGGGTAAGGTAGGGTAGGGTAGGGTAAGGTAAGGTAGGGTAAGGTAAGGTAGGGTAGGGTAAGGTAGGGTAGGGTAGGGTAGGGTAAGGTGGGTAAGGTAAGTGAGGGTAGGTAGGTAGGTGTATGTATGTATGTATAAAGGGTAGGGTAAGACTAGGGTAAAATAGGGTATGGTATTGTAATGTAGAATAGGGTATGGTATTGTAATGTAGAATAGGGTAATGTAGCGTAGGGTAGGCCGAGTAGGGCGGTAGAGTAGTGTAGGCCGAGTAGGGTAGAGTAGGGTTGGGTAGGGTAGGGTAGAAGTAAGATATGATGGTAGTGTAGGAGTAGGGTAGTGTAGGGTAGTGATAGGGTAGTGTAGGGTAGTGTAGGGTAGTGTAGGGTAGTGCGTAGGGTAGATGTAGGGTAGTGTAGGGTAGTGTATGGTAGTGTAGAGTAGTGTAGGGTAGTGTAGGGTAGTGTAGAGTAGTGTGGTGGGAGGAGTACGGTAGGAGTAATGTAGGGTAGTGTATGAGTAGGGTAGGGTAGTGTATGAGTAGAGAAGGGTAGGGTGTATGAGTAGGGTAGGGTTGTGGTATGCAGTAGGGTAGTAGTGTATTGAGTAGGGAAGCGGTAGGTGTATGAGTAGGGTTAGGGATTATTCTTGCTCTCTTTCAACTTTTTACTCTTTTTAACTCACTTTACGTAAAAAGTAACGGATGCCACGAACGCAGCGACCAATAATTAGAGACAACCTCTGATTGTGTGGAATTCGTCCACGCACGCATAGATGTGCACGTACGGGAAAAGCACAATCCCAGATACGTGTCCGCACAAATAACTTTCATAGAACGAAACGCGATAGGTTTCAAGCGGATCTAAAATAATTTGGCTTGCTCGACTACAAAAATGCAGTACTGCAATCAATCAAAATCAACAGAAATGGCCGTTTTTACATCGCGATAGTGTTAAAAGAAACTACATGGCGAAATTAGTCGTATTTGCAGTAGCGCACAGTCAGGCCCAAGCTTCGTTGTCGATTGACGTCAAAGAAATACGGCGAAGAATAAAACTAAAACGTAAAAGACGTGACAAAACGATTGATTTAGGAAATAACGCAAGGATTTCTACAGAATATTCGCTGCAGTAAAGGCGTTCTGCAATGTTACATTATCGTGACCGTACACCGTTAACAACAAATAACAGCCATATTTGTCAATTAGCTACAGTTGATATGACGGATATACGATCATCGATACCCAATCAATGAGCAATTGGTGTGCAACATACATTCGTAGATGGTCCGCTAGAGGGGGATGTATGTTATGTGTAAGCGTAGGACGAAACAAAGGGCAGCGGAAGATGAAACTTAGTACGCAATAAGTATGTACACACACGCACGCACGCACGCACGCACGCACACACGCACGCACACACATACGCACGCACGCACGCACACATATATATACAGGCATTGCCCACGCACTTCGCTCGGAGTAGAGAGTACGGACGTAATGTCCTGGTAATATAAACACGCTGGCAGCCAGACCACGCATGAGGGAAGCACTTGCGCGTGTAAGAATGGCCGCGTCATACACGTCGAGTACGTACGTGAGACGTCATTTCACGTTCATTTACATGCCGGCCGAAGCACAGCAGAACAGTTGAGTGCCCTCGGTTTGTTTTACATCAGTCCGATTTCGGTTAACCCTTTCAACCTGCTCAGAAATCAACCTCAATCTATAAACCCCGTGGTGTTTACTCCGTTGACGAAAGGAAACGCACAAGTAGCCATCGGTCATGCGATCGTTTTCCGGTACGGCATAATAGCCTGCAGACGTGTAACCCTCAGTTTTAGATGTTGATATATTCGTTTAATTAAGTAAATGGTTAGTTGTCGATTATGTATTAGAAGAACGAAATCATTTCATGAGGCAGTGATGAAGATCACACAGACTGTCTCATGCGCTCGTACTTGCCTGCTTTATACGACTTTATGTAAGCCTAATGCTATGTAATTGCTAGATTCCAAGTGTTACATTTAAATCTTGTATTAGCTTAGAAGATTACTGTTAGGCTTAACGTTCGGACAAGTCTCACCCCGCGTGCCACGCGCAGCTACTAATATTTGTCTAGATTTAATGGTTAGAGTTACAAGTGGCATTAAAATAACGTTCGCGCGGCTAGCAATACTTGAGTACGTGCAAGCCACAGACAATAGGTTTTCATTTTGTCCCTATTATCACACCTGCGCCCACGAACTCGCGCGAAATAACACCGATAGCTTATAATTCAGCCGCTCCCGAAATCCAGAATATTATCCTTATGATCGCATCTTCATATTTCAATTTCCTAATAGAGTACGGGCGAAGAGGTTTTGTCACGTACAACGGATATGGCTTGAAATTAGACCCCGCTAAAATCTAAAAGCTCAATACTGCATGGTGAGTACTGTCAATGAAAAGTACTGCGAGGAAAAAATTATATATAATAACATAATAAAACTACTGATATCATCGCTGTTCGACACACATGGTAAAATCGTTCAATAATTTCACCCACGCAATTTGATGATATCGCGTGTCGTGAAACGACAATAGCAAGTGGCAAGTGCAAGCCACGATAATAAGCGACAATGTTGATCATTTCTCATAGCTCTGTTCTGTACTCGAGATAACCAACAGAACCTGCAAAAAAAAATAAAAAATACGAAGAAAGACGAGGAAACGAACTCGACCCTTCCGGCCATTGTACTTCCCGTTTCGCTGTTCCTGAAATTTCGCACCCGTTCAATCCGTACACAGTCGGCGGGAATAATCGCATTGCAGCGACGTTGCGTGGGGTTAGTGTAGTTTTGATGCGCGGCGGGGCAGGTGGTCATCTCGTGCCGCCCCATCCACTGATCTACATATAACGCTATATAACGTTATATAAAACATATAAATATATTATATAATCAGGAGTGAATAATAGAGATAATCTCTATTATTCACTCCTGATATTATTATATAATATAATATTATAATATACATAATATTACATAATATTATACATTGGCATGACCATGAATGTATCTCTACATGTATGTATGTATGTATGTGCATCTTGCCTGCACATGTTCATGGTGTAGCATGCACATATTTCATGTTATATGTGACGTAAATGTACAGGTAACGTTGATTGCATCATTCAGATGTCTCTCTCTCTCTCTC